TGGCTCTTTGTAAATTAGAGTGCTGGGAACTGGGCATTGTGCTCTAGCTGTGATCTGACCAGGAACAGAGTGCAGTAAAACTGGCACTCCCTTATTCTTAGAAGCAATGCCTTTCTTAATGCAGTCAGTAACTCAAGCCAACGAGCCATTTATTAAGTGCCTATCATAAGCCAGGAACCATAAGAGAGTATGAGGTTTTGGGTGGGTTTTTTTTTTTACTGCTACCTCATATTGTACAAGCAGTCCACTATAATCCCTGGATCTTTTTCAGATAAATTTCTGTCCAATTATGTGCTTATGGAATAGATTTTTTTGAACCCAAGTGTGAGACTTGGTCTATATACTCTTTGCATTTCATCTTATTAGCTTCAGCCCAATACCTGAGTCTAGCCCATGAAGATCTTGTAAAATCCTGACTCTTCATTCAGAGTGCTCTATATCTCTTCCAACTTTATATGATCTGCAGGTTGGATGACCACAGCATTTACGTCATGATTCAAGTTATTGATAAAAATGTTAAACAGAATATGGTTAAGCACAGATCCCTGAGACTCTCATCTAGAGATCACACTGAACCATTAAGGACTACTCTTTGAGTATGGCCATTTAACTGGTTTTTAATCCATCTAACTCTGTTATTCACTAGTCTGCATTTCCAACTTTTCCCCAAGAATATTATGAGGTATAGTATAAAATTTTTGTTTAATTCTAGGTTATCTATATTGATGGCCTTCTCTTGATTTACAGGTTTAGTAACCCTGTCAAGAAAAAGGAAAGGAGGGAGTTTAGTGTGCTAAGACCTACTCTTGATGAAGTCAAAGTAGCTCTGTAGTCATCTCTTCCTTTTCTAAATGTTCACTAACCATTCTCTTGCTGATCTTTGCTAGGATTTTCCCAGGAACCCATGACAAGCTTACTGCTCTATAGTTCGCAAACTGAACTTTTCCCCTTTTTCAAAAATTATGGCAAAATTTGGGCAATCTTTGTTCTACTCCAATTCTGTAGGGCTTCTCTCTTTTTCTGTGGTCTTTCTAATATCATCACCACATGTGCTTGTTCTTTCTGTTCAGGAAGTGCAGTTCATGTGGTCCAGGTGACTTGACTTGATGCTGTTTTAACTATCTCCTTACTTGTCTTGGGTATCAATTCCCTATTGGTAATTTTTGCTCATTGTTTTCAGGGCAAAGATCATTCTCATTGGTAGTGAAAATGGAAAAAAAGAATTGAGTACTTCTGTCTTTTCTCTACCATGATACTATCCACCTTAAATCTAGTGTTCTTCCATTACACCATGTTTAATAAAACCAAATCAGATGACTTTGATTAGCTTTGGAGACTAAAAAAGAAAATGCTGTACCTGAAAAGAATCTAAATAACCTTTACCTAGAAGTTACTGATTGAGCTATTGCCTGTTTAACATGAATGGAAAATTAAATTCAATTTTTTTTAAAGCAATAATATGAGGCCCCATGCTAGGTATGGGAAATGCAAAAAAAAAAAAAAATAAAGTGAAACCTCCACTGCCCTCAAGGAGCACACAGTTCATTGAATGGTATGATAAGTCCATTGGTAAGAAAAAAAAAATCTGTGAACAAGAATTTATGAAGTCCCTTCTACATTCTAGAATCTGTGCTACGGGCTTTGAATAAAAAGACAAACAAGAAATAGTTCTTGCCTTCAAGGAGCTTATAACCTAATACAAAGTAATTTGAAATCAAAAGAGCATTAATAAGTGGGAAAACCAAGGAAGACTTCACAGAGGAGATGGCACCTGAACTGAGACTAGAAGGAAGATAAGAATACTAAAAATTAAAAATGAGCAGTTATTGCATTCCAGACATGGGGGTGGCTCATATAAATGTGTGGAGGCTAGAGATGGATGTTGAGTTGGAGATAGCTAATAGAGTAGATTGTTTGGATGGCAAAATGTATGAAGATAGGTTCATGAAATAGTGTTATAAAGGTGGGTAGGCACCAGGGTAGAGGACCTTACAATTCAACCTGAATTTCTTTTTATTTTAATCAATTAATTAATTAATTATTTTGGGTGAGGCAATCGGGGTTAAGTGATTTGCCCAGGGTCACACAGCTAGTAAGTGTCAAGTGTCTGAGGCCAGATTTGAACTCAGGTCCTCCTGATTCCAAGACCATACCTTTATCCACTATACCACCTAGCCATCTCTCTTTTTATTTTAGAAAAATAAATTTTGCTTTATTTTTTATTTTAGAAAAACAATTATTTTCATTTAAATAATATTTTTATTTCATTTGAAATTTTATCTTAGAGGCAATAGGGAGAAGTTTTTTTCAACTCAACCCCTTTCCCTTATAGTCAACTTTATTTGTGATCTCCTATCTTATATATTTTGTTTTTGTTCCCTCTTGCTGAATTTGAATATTAACATCAACCTGAAAATAGCTAATCTTTCCATCTTCTTGTCTTTTGTTTGGACCATTTGGGCAGTGTTTTGAGATAAGTTTCCAAAATAAATGTTGCCTTGACTCTTTCCAAAATTGTAGAAATGTGGCTGGGTAGAATTCTGAGGAATTCCATGTGGCTTCAGTGTTAATTCTCATCCCAGTTTGCTCAAGAGAGAACCCAAGGGTTGGATTGAAGACTTCAACTCAAAGAGAAAGAGTAAACCTTCTCCACTTCCTGATGAGGGTGCAGTGATGCACAGTATACAGAATTTTCCCTTGAAGTGTCCCCTAAAATGTAGGCATCAATCCTGCCCAAGCAGCCCCTGTTTTTCAAGATATGCACCTACCCCTAATTCCACTGGAGATAGGTTATTTTGTAAGCGAGGGAACAAATGATTCATTTCTGATATTGTTGGCAAGTGGACCTGGAATTAAAACTTTTATCCCTGCCATCCGCCACCCCTCTACCCAAAGATGCTGGCTCTGAGGGCTTCTTTAACATCAGCACGTCAGTATGCATGTGTGTACATTTGCTCCTTCTTATCATCATATATACACATTTATTTTTATATCCATGATCATACCTCTTCTCTCTTCCAAAGCCAACCTGATTTTTTTTTCTCTATTGCCTTCTCCCTCCTCTTTGCCCCCTCCCCAAGAAAGAAATCACAGCTTCCGACTTCCTGCCAAAGAATCCAGGACTCCCCTTGGAGACCATCCATGTCATTCTTAGATTGCCTGGCGGGGGTCCCGGCAAAGCATGGAGTATGAGCCTCCCTCTGGGTCAAGTGTACTTCCTCCGGAGTCTGGCTTCATCCCCTGCAGGCCAGAGAGGGAGTCATTTGGTCCAGAAATCAGACGTGGCTATAGCTGACTGCCACTGCTGAGCCACCTGGCTGGCCAATGTCTTATAACATGGGAAGGAAAAAAACGTTAATATGTTTGGTAATTCACTGGTAGCAAAAAAAATTGGAAGCTTAGGTGGAAGAGAGATCAGAAAACAGCATTGAGAGAAAAGACCTGGATTTGTTAGCTTTTAAATCCACCTTCCCCACATGTTCTGTTTTTAGAAGAGCATTTTTTCCCCCTTTCTGAGCTGTATGGATTCGGCTTTCTTGCCTAGACTAGAGAGGTGGCAGAGAGAACTATTAAGGACAATTATGCAGACCAGCATTGAGCTTTTGTGTTTAACAAACAGCTTTGAGTTCTAATTTTCTGCAAAACACATACTGCAGGTACCATTTTTACTCATTACTGTAAATTGGGAAAGTTATTAAAAATGCTTAAACTTGGTGAGACTTCCTATGGCACCTTCCCTAGATTTTAATTGGTTTTTATCTAGTTCTATAAAAGAGCTCTTTAAACCAAATCAAAGCCCCTTACTTTGGATATCTTGCCAATGGGAGGACAGAGACAGTCCCACTGCATCTTAGGAGTATTTTTTTTTTTTTGCAATTCAAATGTGAGCGTTCTCAGCAATCATTAAGATTCCAATGCAAGATAATTTATACTCCTTTTGATGGACTGAGTTTTAAGATGACACTACAACAATGTTTTGGAACACAAGGGTTAAATCTTAATCTCAGAGGTTTGCAAAGCTGCTAGTGGCAGTCTCCTTAAAATTTAATATACCTCGTTAATGCTTACTTGCAAACACTGAAGGATTTTTATGATTATAATCATGTGTTACAGCACCTAGTACTGTTTCTAAGCAGCATACTAATCAGCTTAATGAGATATTACTGCACTTTTTGTTGACTAAAGCAAAATCCCTTTTATTGTTCTAAAGCTTGTCCTTTACTTATTTTTTCCCCAAAACATTATCTTGTTTTATTGTAAGCCAGTAAATATCATGCCATCATTGGGTGGTTTTTTTGGTCAAATCATAAAACTCCTGTTTTCATCTCAGAATTGGGAATGTGTTCGATGTAGTGAATGGAACCAAAAGTTATAAGAGGAATTCGATTTGGACTTTGAAGAAAAGAAAATGGAAAAGGAAAGGAAAGAGAAAAGGAAAAGAAAGAAAAGAGAAAAGGAAAGGAAAAAAGAAAAATGAAGGAAGGAAAAGAAAGAAAAGGGAAAGAAAGGGAAAAGGAAAGAAAAGAAAAGGAAAAGGAACAGAAAGGAAAAGAAGAGTATGCAATAGACTTATCTTGAACTTTTACCCATGCAAACAGGTGCAGATGCTACAAAGTGTGCTGGCAAAGGAATGCGGAAGGGGAATCAGGGAAGGAAGAAAAGAGGAGAGGAAGAAATGTAGCCTCTCGATTTGTTATTAGGTATTGAAAGTGGTAAAACATTAATAATTAAAATATGAATGAATAATTGCAGTCTGTAAATAGGAAATACAATGAAGAAGATCTGCCGCTAAAACAAATTGGATGAGCAACACCATATTGCATAATTGGCATTTAATAATTCATTTTTTTATTATTGTTTTTTGACCATAATTCCTTAGCATTATTATGTGTAGGTAAAGCCTAAAATGCAAATTGTCTGTCAACTGCTACTTTTGATTCATTATTCTTAACTACCATTTCCCACATCTAAATGGTCTTTTTTTTTCTTCCTCCCTACAGGGATGGAGGAAGCTAGTTTGTGCCTTGGAGTTTCTTCAGCTGTCCCAGAGGCTGAGGCCCATCTTAACAACACGATCCTTAATGGTCAGTATTCAATGAGCCAGAAGCTGCACCAGATAACATCTCAGCTCAGCCATGCTTTCCCGGAGCTCCAGACCAGGCCTAACTCTGAAGAGAAGGTCTCCACACCCCTAGAGGAGAAGAGCCACGTGTCCATGGGAGGCCAGCCAATTGGCAGCCAGATGGCCCTCTTGGCCAACCAACTCAACCGAGATGTGGACACCAGTCTGAACGGAAGGGTGGATCTGCAACAGTTCTTGAATGGCCAGAACCTTGGCATCATGTCCCAGATGAGTGACATTGAGGACGACGCAAGAAAGAATCGGAAATACCCTTGCCCCCTGTGTGGGAAGCGATTCCGGTTCAATAGCATCCTTTCTCTCCACATGCGTACACACACTGGTGAGAAGCCCTTCAAGTGTCCCTACTGTGACCACCGGGCAGCCCAAAAGGGGAATTTGAAGATACACCTGAGGACCCATAAGCTCGGAAACCTGGGAAAAGGCCGTGGGAGAGTCCGAGAGGAGAATCGCCTGCTTCATGAGCTTGAGGAAAGAGCGATCCTGAGGGACAAACAGATGAAAAGCAGTCTCCTGCAGCCACGGCCTGATGTGAAGCCTCCGCCACACTCCCAGCAGCCCCCTCTGGCTAACTGTAACTTGTCTTTAGCAGTGAACCACAGTGTCCCTGACATCTCTAATCCAGTACCCTCACCAAAGCCAGCCAATGTCCAAGAAGACATGGTGGTTCCCACGGCGGGTTTCCGCTGTACATTTTGCAAGGGGAAGTTCAAGAAGCGTGAAGAATTGGACCGTCATATCCGGATCCTTCACAAGCCCTATAAATGTACCCTGTGTGACTTCGCAGCCTCCCAGGAGGAGGAACTGATCAGCCATGTAGAGAAGGCTCATATCACTGCTGAGTCAGCCCAAGGTCAGGGCTCCAATGGGAGTGGGGAACAGTCAGCCAATGAATTCCGCTGTGAAGTGTGTGGCCAGGTGTTCAGTCAGGCGTGGTTTCTCAAGGGCCACATGAGAAAACACAAGGATTCTTTTGAGCACTGCTGTCAGATCTGTGGGAGGCGCTTCAAGGAGCCCTGGTTCCTCAAGAATCACATGAAGGTTCACCTCAACAAGCTTTCTGTCAAGAACAAGTCTCCCAATGACCCCGAGGTACCTGTTCCCATGGGAGGTATGTCCCAGGAGGCCCACGCCAACCTGTATTCCCGATACCTCTCTTGTTTGCAGAGTGGCTTCATGCCCCCAGATAAGTCCAGCCTGAGTGAACCTAATCAGCTCTATAGCAAGGGGGACTTGCCTATAAAGGAGAAGGAAGTTCTGGGGAAGCTGCTGTCCCCCATCTCGGGCATGGGCCACAGCCTTGGCGAAGGGGACAAACATTCCCTCTTGGGTTGCCTCAACCTGGTGCCGCCACTGAAGTCCAGCTGCATAGAACGGTTGCAGGCCGCTGCCAAAGCGGCCGAGATGGACCCTGTGAATAGCTATCAGGCCTGGCAACTCATGGCAAGAGGGATGGCCATGGAACATGGCTTCTTGTCTAAAGAGCAGCAGATACAGCGCAACCACGAAGACACTCTGGCAAACGCCGGAGTTCTGTTTGATAAGGAGAAGCGGGAGTATGTGTTAGTAGGAACAGATGGCTCCAAGCAGAAAATGCCTGCTGATTTGGTTCACAGCACTAAAATGGGCAATCAAAGAGACCTGCCAAATAAACTAGACCCTTTAGAAGGCAGTAGAGATTTTTTGTCACATGGTCTTAACCAGGGACTTGATTACAACATGCAAAGTCATGGAAACATGAAGGAGAAGCCCACTGAGTGCCCAGACTGTGGCCGAGTGTTCCGAACCTACCACCAGGTGGTTGTCCACTCCCGAGTCCACAAGAGAGACAGGAAAGCCGAAGAAGAGGTCCTCCAAGGGTGCCTGGAGGAGCGACGGGGTTCTGGCAGTGACCAGGAATCCCAGTCGGTGAGCCGGTCCACCACACCGGGCTCTTCCAACATTACCGAGGAGAGTGGGGTCGGTGGGGGCCTTTCTCAGACTGGAAGTGCTCAGGAAGACAGCCCACATCCTTCGTCACCATCTTCCTCAGGTAGGTGGGCTTCTATTTGGGGGAAATAAAAATGAATATCACCCAGTGGAAAACTTCATAGTTAGAAGCATTTCTCCAATTGTCTTTACTCATCAATGTCTTATCATGATCCCTAGGCCTTTCACAGTTAGAAATATGTGTGATTTCCTCCTTAGCCTTGTGTCATTGTTGATTTTTAAGAACATGGGTCCTCTGGCCCCTTGCTCTTACTCTCTATTATCCTTAAATAGGTTTTGACCTTTTCATTTTCTATCCTTCATATAGGAGTGGAGAGCACGCTCTCATTCATCTGAGACATTCGGAAGTCCCTTTTTCTTGTGTGCCACTAACTCTCCTCACTCCTGTCCTGTCTCCACCTCTAAGAGACCTCTGAGGGCTTCTCCCATGGGATTCTAGACAAGGACCTTTCAGGATTCCTTGGACTATCCATAGCTGGAGCTGGCTGAGGTGGCCCTTACTAGCCTTTCCCCTAAAGATACACTTCCATTATTTTCCTATTATTTGCCCAGTCCTCCCAAATAGACCATTCTTCAAATATGGAAACAACTCCCTCCCCAGTATAACTTTCCTTATCTAAACTCATATTTGTGGGGCAATGGAAAGGGTTCACAGGGCCTCTGTTCAAATTCTTTCTCTGCCACAACTGTAAAATAAAGGAGTTAGACTAGATGGCTTCCATGGTCCCTTTTCTCTCTAAATCCATGATCCAACTCTCTGGGAAGTTCTGTCATGTGGATTGCATCACCTTCCACTGAGTCCATGTACATTCTGGGAACTTGTCAAAACAGACATTTAGGGTCATGCCTTAAATTGTACTACACCCCACATTCACTTTTGATGCAGGCTTATGAAATGACCACTCCTTCCCCACCAAAAACATTCCTTACAAAAGTCCACATGATACTGAGCTTCCTCAACTATTTTTTCTTTTGTTTTCTTTTGGATTTTTTTTGTTTGTAAAAAGTCCTAGCCTATGAAAGCTGAGTTACAATCTGCACACCACTGCAGGTAAGATTTCTGGCTTCGTCCCTATTTCCAGAGCCACTTGCTAATGGACAGCAAATGGAATGTTCTATCTCTAGCCCTTTATAAGGAAAGCACCTTGCTAATACTGTAATCATTCTGCAAGCTTAACAACAGAGGAAATCATGCCATAACAAATACTCTGTTACTAATGGCAACATTGATTTCTGCAATCAGCCATTAAGTCTAGAAAATGAAAGACAGTTTGAGGTACCTTAAGGCATTACATTGCCCACTGTTAAAGATCTGGTAGCAGGCTGTCGAGGTTAATTCTTTTTAGTCGCCCCCACCCCTACCCCGTTTTGATAAATATTTTAGTGTTGGAGGCAATTCTCTGTTACAGTTATTAAGTATATGCCAGTTTAGTTTGTTGTTATTGTCATGCTTCAGTATACCCTACTTTGAGGACAAAATTAATATACAAATAAAGCGTTAGTTTGCTGGCTTATTACAAACCAGTAAAGAACTCTTAAGACACATAAATCTGTGCTCCACATTCCACAGATTCCTATAGTACTTAATGCTGTTGTTTAAATACCCATGAAACACACTGTCTACTCTAGGAGCAACAGCCTTGTTGGCGATTTATTACTGGTGAGACACATTAGAAAATTCTAAATAGGAGCACGAGTACCACGTAGGGGCTAATTTCATAGTATGGAGAGTGATTAAAATTGTTTTTAGTGACTGGAAAGTGCTAAGATAAAAGGGCTTAGTTTCCGCTTTTCACGGCCTGATACTAAAAGTACTTTATAAAACTTTGCCGTTTTCAGGGATGGGAGGGAAAGAATCGTAACCCTGCGTCAAAGGATATGCCTTTTCTTGGGCTCACACAGAAGGGTTCTTCTGCCAGGTAGTTCAGTTCTGCTAATATTGGGTTAGAGAAACCTGGGGAATAGAACAAGAGAGAGTATCTGGGCATTCTGAAATTTGGGGAAGAACCTGATATGACACTCACTGAATTCAAGAACTGCTTGAAAATCCAAAATCGGCTGAAAATTAAAAGATGTTATCTGTTCAGCCTAATACCAAATGTTTAGCTTTGTACATGACACATTTACCCTGTCTTTCTCACCTTCTGGCCAAGTGATAGCCAGTGCTAATTCCCCATATCCATCATTTTCTTTATTTCCAAATACATATTGTGTTGAAGGAATCCACTCTCACTTCTCCAACTCGGTGGGAATTTTCTAACTCCCACACTGTGTATGTCTGGGAAAGAAAAAAAAACTGCAGTTGGAGTTATCCATAAACTTCTTGTTTCCACCTTGGAATCAGTTGATAAATGTGTCTATTGGTTGATTCCTTTCTGAGTGATCTTAAAATTGTTTTTTTTCCTCTTAAAAATGTCTATTTCAGATTTGTGAATGATTTGGAAATAAATGTAACAACAAAAATTACATACTTGGTATACTTCAAGTCAAAGGTCTATGGCATTAAGTTTTTCCTTGGGCTGTAAACACCCAAACGAGCCTGGCAAGTCAACCTATTTAAAAACAAAACAAAACAAACAAACAACAACAACAACAACAACAAAATGTGATTTGTCCTAAGTGATATTAAACTAGATATATCTTTCAATGTAGGACAATTGGCATTTTGCCATTACCTGCTCTAGAGAAACCTGCGAGGTGAAGACCAAGGTCTTTGGACCTGTGAGTAAGAATGCAATACTTATTGAGGCTTTTATTAAGAAATTACTGCAAAACGGAGGGTTTTACAAATTTCTCAGACAGCATAACAATGTCTCAAAACTTCATTTGCATCACTTGATTCTCTTTTTTGTTGAAAACTGGGTCAGTAGGGCCTGAGAAACTATTTTTTTCAGATCTCAACCAATGAATTCTTCTTTATAAATCGCTGCTCTTAACATGATAGTAGTTCTGAATTCATCATAAAAAAACCTTTTTACAGAGAGCCTCTTAGAACAGATCTCCAGAAGAAGGCTTACAATGAGTGGCAGAGAAGTCCTTTGTTATCTGATGTAATTCTTTGCAAAGGAGGATTGGGAACCGAGTGGCTGTTTAAAAATGTCTTGCTCAGGCTGAGAAGAAGAAAGGGTCAAGTTTGCAATCAAACAGTTATTGCCGAGATGTGTGACTGTCACTGGCTAGGCTAATGTGGTATGCAGCTGTTTGTTATGTGAGTAAAAGAATGTTTGAATCAGTGAACATGTGAAAATGACTCCACTGAACCAGAAAATGTATTTGTTCTCTAGCTCTCCAGACTGCTGAGAACTAAGCTTAAGATCAACTGCTAAAACTAGGACCTTTGACAAATTGAGAGGTCATATTTTCTAACAGAAAATGGACAAAACCAGACGACACACAGATCACTGCCCTGTCCTTTTCTTTTTGTTTTTATCATTTATTTTTGTTTATTTGACTTCCCAATAATTTCCCACAATAGTAGATGTCATTTCTCCCTCCTCAGGCAATACAAAGGAAAACTATTGGGAAACAGGAAACTCAGAAGCACACTTTTTTTCTTCCCTGACACGTAGAAAGCAGTACATATGTTTTCGTCCTATGCTGGTTGTGGTTGCCTGATTGCATGCCAACCCCCTGATGGAATTAATCTCAGCATCATTCTCCTAAAAACATATCAAAGCAGGCGTCCCGGCCTATCTCATTTCTGGCTCAAAAAAAACAAAAAGTTTGTGTTCTTCAGATTTTGCTTTGGAAATAGCACACAGAATAATTAAAACTTAATGTAGTAAGAAACGATATTGTTCATTCTATCCAACAGGGTAGTTACCTTCTGCATTTTCCCATAATTTTGGTGTGGGGATAATTGAAGTCTTGATGGTGGGAAGGGGGTAATTGAATGCATTGACCCTCTAGTTCATTAAATAAAGTAGGCCAAGTTACATGATCAGTGGAAATCAAGGGAGGCAAAGACGAAATAAAATATTGTTAACCCTCATTACTTCTTGTTTAGTATTTAGAGGTGGGCAAGAATTATTTGACCAGCTGGCTTGGAACCCTTGTGCTATCTCTTTTTGTTTGTGGAATTTTCCTTAAACAATCAATCTCCGACCATATTTGGGCCCAAATGATAGAACAAATCAGAAGCTTTTGTACAGGGCATCCTTGCATAGACATAGGCTCGATAGAGATACGATAGTTTTTCTTTCTTTCTTGCCTTTTTTTCCTTCTTCCCTCTTTTTCTCTCTACCCTCCCCCATTTAGTTTTGTGATAGCCATCGCCTGCTCCAAGCAAACAAAACAGGCCAAAAAAAAATTAAGTCTGAGGATTAAGATCTTCATTTTTTTTTTGCTTGTGCATTCCAATTGTTCTTAAAATATTTGGCAATGTCAATTAGTAACTGAGCAGAGTTAGCTGATGAACACAATTTTCCAGTAGACTGAGCACCCTATTGTTGTCGAGCTAACAGCAGATTTCTGAGGTCATTATCATTCGCTGGTAGCTTGGCCCAGCTGCTTCATGCTGCAAAAGCCAAACTTTATACTGGAGCTGGGGGATGGCGTGCAGCAACAGGGGGCTGGGGAGGGAGAAGCGGGAAGTTGGCTGGAAAGCTGAAGAAAGTCATTATGGGCATCAGAAACAGAAAGTAAAAGTTTCTTGTGTATTCCAAGAAACTTGCTTACTCCTGTCCCTCCCAAGCTCTTTTCCACCTGGAGGTCTGCACACAGCTTACTGACAAGGGACGAAAGGCACTGGCAGTGTAAACAAACACTGGGGGACAGAAGAAAAGTGAGATAGTGCTTGCTTTGGAGGAACTCACAGACTGTTTGCGGGAGGCGACACATAAAAGAAAGTCCAGTTGCCAGGCAGATGGAAAGGCCCAGAAATCCTAAGGGTGTAGCAGCAGGGCGGATGGCAAAGTCCAGGGATTTTAGGTTTCATCAGAAGGTCAGATGACGGTGCCAGGGGTCTGCTAAGCTAGAGATAGGGTAGATAATAAGGCCTGGAACATCTTAAGGGGCAATTACAGAGCAGATGGTAAGGCATGG